AACTTGGAAGAGGCACATGATGAAAACAAAGAGGGAGGCTCTAAAGTTGAAAAGGATAAAAGGAAAAGGAAAACTACAGATGAACCCACATCCAAGAATCCTGAGCCTAGAGATGAAGGTAACAAAAAATATTGTAGGAATATTAGATCATGGGCTTGGGATCATTTTTCTAAAGATCTCTCTTGTAGCACAAAAAGTAGAGCTTTTTGTATTTGGTGTGCAAAGTCTTATGCATGCGATACTCGCAAAAATGGTACAAGTAATATGATAAATCATTTGTTGCATATTTGTAAAAATGTTCCCAAAGAGACTCGTGATTATCATAAAAAAACTCTTTCCTTTCAACAATTGAAAAAGAAAGATGGTCAGGGAAGTAGCAGTGTTTTGACTAGTGTTCATTTTGATGTTGATGCATGTAGACAAACATTAGCTAGAATGATAATTGTGGATGAATTGCCTTTCAAGTTTGTTGAGGGGGAGGGATTTCGTTACTTTATGAGTATTGTGCAACCTAAGCTACCAATTACGGGAATGATTTCAGCTGCTAGGGATTGTTGGAGTCTTTAAATAAGTGAGAAACAAAAATTGAAAATTTTGTTTAATCACACACATCAAGGTGTATCTCTCACAACTAATTGTTGGACTTCTGTTCAAAATATGAATTACCTTTGTCTCACTGCACATTGCACATTTTATTGATGAAAATTGGAAGTTGCATAAGCGGATTCTAAGTTTTTGTCAAATTAAAAATCATAAGGGAGAGACAATTGGTAGAAAAATTGAAAAATGCTTAGAGAGTTGGCAAATAGGTAAAGTTTGTACTATCACAGTTGACAATGCTAGCTCTGATGATGTTGCAATCTCTTATTTGAAAAGTAGAATGGAGGATTAGAATACACATCCTCTAAAGGGAGAACATATGCATGTTAGGTGTTGTGCTCATATCTTGAATCTTATGGTTCAATATGGATTGAAAGAGTGTAATTCTACAATTAGTAAAATTAGGAATGAAGTTAGATATGTCTGTGCATCTCCTGGTCGCATAGATAAGTTTAGAAGTTGCATTAAGGAAGATAGGCTACAAGATAAAAGTATTGTGCAATTAGATGTGCCTACTAGGTGGAATTCCACCTACTTGATGCTTAAAAGTGCTTTAAAGTTTCAAAAGGCGTTTAAGAGATTGGGGGGAAAATGTGTTGAATATGTGATGTTGCAAGGTGGTATTCCAAATAATGAAGATTGGGAAACTGCAAGATGCCTTGTTAAATTCTTTAAGATTTTTTTTGATATAACTGAAAAAGTTTCAAGTACAAAATATGTTACCTCTTTCCAATATTTTAATGAACATGTTTTGTCTTTGATTACATTTAAAAAAATGAGAGAAAGTGGTGATCTAATGCTTGGAATGATGGCTGAAAAAATGAAAGTTAAATATGATAAGTATTTAGGGAATGTGAAAAATATGAATATGTTGATTTTTGTTGCTCTGGTGCTTGATCCTCGTAATAAGTTTCAGTTTGTTGAGTGGGGAATGAACAAAATTTATGAGAAAGATATTGTTGAATTTATGAGTCAAGAGGTGAAAGAGGAATTGTATGAAATGTTTGAGAAGTATAGTTTTTTTGCTAATCAAGAGCAGATTGAAACTTGTGTTCAATCATCTAATGAAAATAGAACGATAAACATTGATTCAGTTAATGATGAACTTGCTGTTGAGTTTGAAAAAAACATGGATCTTCGTGAGAATTTGAATAAAAATGAAATAGACTTGTATCTCATAAAGGCATTGGAGAAGAAACGCAATCCTAATTTTGACATTTTGAATTGGTGGAAAGTAAACTCTACCAAATATCACATTCTTGGTCAATTAGCTAGAGACGTTTTAGCCATACCTATGTTTACTGTTGCTTCAGAGTCTGCTTTTAGCACAAGAGGTAGAGTGCTTAACTGTTATAGGAGCTCTCTTACACCAAAGACCGTTGAGGCTTTGATTTGTACCCAAAATTGGTGTCGATCCTCCCCAATATCAACTGATGTTGAAGAGCTCATGGAGGATTTAGAAAAACTTGAGCTAGGTATTTTTATTGTACCTCATAGTAGTGTATTTGTTTTTTATTATATTTTAAATATTTGTAGATCTTGCTCCAATCCCGCAACTAAATGAAGAGTAATCTGATGTGGATCTAATTAGTTGTTGATTTGGTATCATATTTTTAATTGGTTGTTTTTCTTAATAATAGTTATATTGATTATTATTTTTAATTGGATGCCTTTTTTTAAACGTGCAATGGACTTTGGATCATGTTGTTTGGAGTTATTTAGGATCATGTTGTTATTTGGAGCTGCTGTTGTTTGGAGCTGTTTTTGGATCATGTTGTTGTTTTAATGTATTGACAGTGTTGTTGTTTTGGAATCTGTTGGATTCTATTATACTTTTTCTTTATCTAAACTATGATTTGTTGCAATATGGATGCTTGTGGGGGTTATTGTTCTAGAATGCTTTGAATTTGAGCAATTGCGTAACTTTTAGTAGTGTACTTAGGGTTTAGAATTTGAACAATGTACTGGTTTACTTTTACTCAGAGCATTTCTAAGGCCTGAATGGAACTCTGTTAAGTTTGCTTCTAGTTCTTCAAACAATGTTTTCTGAATCGTATGTAAATAAGTTTTTCTAAAAGATATTTCTGATTAAATTTCTTGCATATCTTTCTTCCCTTGGATATGTGCCACCTGAGATTTGAGGATGTGACATGTTTTGGCATTATGAACTCACGGCTTGGGCATAACTTGGTACCATTTATTGAAATTAGTTCAAACTGTAATTGAAGAACTGGTCTAAAAAAGAACATTGCTAAAACAACGTAGGGCTTCCTAAATATCAAGTTTATCCTTCCCCTTTAAGCTATGTATATCATGATAATTTATTAATTACATGTAAAAAATTGTTAAATGAACTGTAATCTAATGAATGGAATTTATTATTGGTTTAAAAAAGAAGAAAAGTAAAAAAAAGAGTTGAAGGTATCTCCTTAGCATTCTATTGTTAATTCTTGTATTCTTCTTACTACTCTGTATCAAGCAATGTAAGATCTCGCCAATGGTAATTTTATTCTTCCGAACATGTTGCATGGTTTTGTGTAATTCATCTTGCTGAATATGGTATTTGTTTTCTGCAGTGAGTTTCAGCTCATTCATGAGTTATGCTTATATGTACTATGAGTTTCTCAGATAACAGAGCTTATACAGGCTACGCTATCTACTTTTAAAGCTTGGATTAAAAAAATGTGCTGACAGTGTTGTTGCTTTGAATTATTTTCAAAAATTAGATTCCAAAAATCGCACAAATCCAAATCGAATCAAGCCGCACTTAATTGGATCGGATTTTCTTTTAGAAACATCCAAACCGATCCAAACTGCAAACATTTATACTTTCGGATTGGATGAATTTTTAGTCAAAACTCGATCCAAACCGACCGCGAACACCCCTAATCCTAGGTTAGAGTTGGATTCTCATCGCAACACTATAACTAGTCAACTCATTTTGACACCAATTAAATGATACACGTGTTACTCTTTGATTAGAGTTTAAATTTATCAAATTAGATGATTGAAATAAAATCTAATTAAGGGGTAACAACTGCCATTATTTAATTGGATATTAATTTTATTGAATTAATTTAAAATTAGGATTAGGTCGATATAATATAAAATATTAAGGATTAAATGTACAATTATAATAATTTTAGTAACGGCCAAGTCACCACCTCTATCAAATATTAACGACAAGTGACTTGATTGGATACAATTAAATAGTTAAATGGTCTAATTGATATAATTGAAAAATTGATGATAATAGTAAAATAGCTAAATAGTTTTGAGTTATTCATGTAGTTTACCCTAAATAATTTACTTTTAAAATTTTAACTAATTTATAATTATACGTTGAGTTTTTTAGAATTTTAAATTTTATAAATTAAATTAATAATACTATCATTAATGATATTTATCGGTGCTCGTGTGAAAGAATTTTCCCCTATAAAATTATTAAAATTGAAATTGAAATTGAAATATTTAAGGACGAGAGAGTATAAATTACGGCCGAGAACGTGATTCTACGTAATAATATAAAGAATTTTTCGTTCACTTACTTAAAAAAAACAAAACTTCCTAATTTGAAAATAGAAGGTACTTTCCTCAAATATACATTTATTAGAATATTTATAAAAACATTTATTAGAATAAAATATCCAAATAAAAATTACATTCAATTGATTATTAAAATAATATTTTTTATTAAAATTCTGAAAATGTATAACTAATTAGTTGTTTTGTTGCATATGTGTCATCTAAACTACGATTTCATTTTTAATAACATAAAAGGATTCTAAAAGTTGTAGTGAACAAACCGTATTTTTCTTGAATTTTGAATAATGAATGAATTGTCAAAATGAAGAAAATAAAATTAATAAATAAATTTCTTCTAAAAAATTATATACATAACACATATTGGAAACATGTATTAATATATAATACGAATAAAATTAAACTATGACGGTATATATTGAAATTTTTTATCTTTAATCATGTGTGAGTAGATATTAAAATATTATATTTAATTATTTAGAAAAATAAATATTTAATCAATATAAGCTTCGAAATTGTGATATTTATTTGTTTAAATTTTAAACATTTAAAATGAGATATTTGGGTAAGTTAGTCAAAATAGAAAACTAAATATGTGCATTTTTTACTAAATATTTGCATTTTTTTTTTTAAAATTGTTATTTTAGAGGAAAAAGTAGAGTGAAACGCGGAGACGGGTCCGTTACGTTAAGGAAAGAATTGAGGGAGCGCTAAATGCGCCGCGCGTGTATTAAAGACAGTCGGGTGAGAAGATAAAAAGGCGGTGGTTAATTCGTAATATCAAAAGAGATTGGTGTCCTTTGTCGTTCAAAGGAATATCAGTTCAAGTTACTACTATTAATACAGACCACGGGAATCACCGTTTCCACGTTCAGGGTATTCCCGTAGTTTCAGTAAAACATAAGCTGTAAGAAGCCTCGAATTTCCCGTTGAGATTTCAAACTCCCCATGCAAATCTGGAATTCATTGTTTGGCTGCTAAGAAAATAGAATTCTTTATAGAAAGTAAAAGGAAAAGCAAATGAAGTGAAGAGAAAGGAAGAAAACCCGGTCTCCTAGTTTTGGCACTGTCCAGTGTCCACCTCTTGGAGACGATTCCAAGTATACTTTCTGAGAATTTTCGTTTTTCATCCTTTTTTTCTTGTCAACCAAACAGAAGATTGAAGAACGAGAGTTCAATGACCCAAAAATCGTACGTATATCTTTCTCCGGTTTTATTTGACCATGATCTTGAGTTTCTTGTTGTTTTGCCTTTCCTCTGTATTTTTCTAGATTTGCATGTGTCTGATTAATGGAAAGACGAACAAGCGAAAGAATTAGCGTTAGATCGATAATTGGAAAATACGAGTCGGTCTTAATTTTCCTTTAGTAATCAATATAAATTTCAATTGTTCAACTGTTGATCTTTGAAACAATTTGGCTTGTTTAGTAATCTCTAAGCTCCTTTTGCTTGGATTATGTTTCGGAATTTTCCAAGTTATTGAGTTTTTCATTCATTCATTAGTGGAGGAGTTTCGTTTTGACTAATTCAGGGACCTGGGAACGCAATTCAGGGATGATATTAGTGTTTTAATCAGTTGACAATCGGTCGAGTGGTTTCTCAATGAGGCATGAAGTTAAATCTCTGCTTCAAGTGAATACCAGGAAATTGATATGGCTTATAGGGATAACGTTTGCTGTGATTATAACTTTCCAGTATCTTGAACTTCCATACGGGAATGTTTTTTCGTCATTATTTCCTTCCGGTAAGGTTTCAGTTGAGGAACAAAGTCGCTTCTTGGATATCGGTCCTTCATCTGCCGAATCTAGTCTGAACTTTAATGATACAAATGCTTCTAATGAGACAGCTCATGATGCTGAGAAGGAAGGTAATATCACAAGTTTAAATAATCAGAACAAAACAGGTGCTGTTAATGAAACAGCTAAAGCTAATGATGTTGGGGCCTCGGAAGATGGTTTCACATCAGCAGAAGTAGGCTTGAATAGATCTTCTACATTAGTTAAGGATAGCATTTCTTCTAGGGAGGAATCCGAGGACCTAAACAAAACTTCCACAGTGAATTTCCCTGTTAGTTCCAATAATTCAAGTATAGCTGAGAATGTTGGCAAAACCGATGAAAGTTTTTCTTCAAAAAATGGTACCGTTGAAATCAGCACTTCGAACAACGATATTGGAAATGAAAGTGTCGGTTTATCACCAATAAACACACTGTCCTCAGATACAGGCCTCGTTACAGCTAACACTGCCTTAGGAAAAGATGTTGAGACAAATGTCAGCACTCCTATCGCATCTTCTAATTCCAGTATATCTACAGTAGAGCAACATGCGACACCAAGTGTAGTCAAGAATGAAAAATTGAAAGAGATGCAGAACAATTTCACCAAATCAAGTGATGATCCTGCTCCCCTCAAGGCTCCCAAGATGAAGGAAAAGCCCCAGACCTTACCTGCACTAACTACAATAGCTGACATGAACAATTTGGTTTATCAGAGCCGTGTTTCATATAAATCCAAGGTATGCTCATACATTTTGTTTTCCCTTATTACAAATGGATACGTTAGTTCTATATTTCAATGTTTCTTTTTTATATCCATTTGTTTTTGTAGACACCAAGATGGCCTTCAGAAGCTGACAAAGTTCTACTAGAAGCAAGATTGCAGATCGAGAGTACACCCATTATAAAGAACGACCCGCAACTTTATGCACCTCTTTATCGGAATGTTTCTATGTTCAAAAGGTAGATTACCACTCCACTTTTCTCTTTCATTTTTAGCGTTTCACCAAAATGTATTACAAGGAAAGGTGGAGTGCTGGTTGAGTTGAGAATGTTAAGTTTCTGCTAAACAGAACCAGTTACAAGTACAGAAGTGCATAAAGTATAAACAGTTTGCTTATCATTTTCAGGAGCTATGAATTGATGGAAAACATACTCAAAGTGTATGTCTACAAGGAAGGAAAAAGACCCATAGCACATACGTGGCCTCTCAAGGGTATTTATGCCTCTGAAGGATGGTTCATGAAGCAGCTGGAAACTAGTACAAAATTTGTCACTAAAAACCCAAGATATGCCCACATGTTTTACTTGCCTTTTAGTTCCAGAATGTTAGAGGAAACCTTATATGTGGTTGGTTCCCACAGTCATAAGCCCCTTATACAGTATTTGAAGAACTACGTGAACACAATTGCAGCAAAATATCCTTACTGGAATAGAACTGAAGGAGCTGACCATTTTCTGGTTGCTTGCCATGACTGGGTAATGCTTTTTATGCTTCCAATACATTTTAGGGTCTTTGGAACTATTCATAAATTTCAAATAGTCCATCTATTTTACATACCACTAGTATTTCAAATACCTTAATGTACATGACATCTATTTTACTCATTAGAAGTTATTGCCAAATGATTGATTTTTCTCCACTATAAATTCTTGTCTCCCTGTTTTTACCTCGACCTCTGTATAGATACAGAGCCATATACCCCCTTTGTAAGCTTGCAAATCAATGACTGCATTGTTTCGTTTTTCTCGGTAGAGACCAATAGTTTGATATTTTTCATACAATGATGAAATGATTCTCTGTTTTTTCCTCTTCTTGGAACTTTCTTCTTATAAACACTACTTTTCTCAGGCGCCATCTGAAACAAGGGAACCCATGGCCAATTGCATAAAAGCCCTCTGCAATTCTGATGTTAGAGAAGGTTATGTTTTCGGCAAGGATGTGTCTCTTCCTGAGACATATGTTGGGAATCCAAAGAAACCTCTTAGAGACCTCGGGGGCTACCCTCCATCCAAGAGATCCATCCTGGCTTTCTTTGCAGGAAGCATGCATGGTTATCTAAGGCCAATTCTGTTAGAACATTGGGGAAACAAAGATCCCGACATGAAAATCTTTGGCAGGATGCCTAACATGCCTAATGTTAAGGGGAAACTGAACTACATCCGGCACATGAAGACCAGTAAGTACTGCCTTTGCCCTAGAGGATACGAAGTTAATAGTCCAAGGGTGGTAGAGGCCATTTTCTATGAATGTGTTCCTGTGATCATCTCCGACAATTTTGTGCCCCCATTTTTCGAGGTTTTGAACTGGGAATCATTCGCCGTATTTGTTTTGGAGAAGGATATTCCAAATTTGAAGAAGATCCTGTTATCGATCCCAGAAAAGCAGTATCTGCAGATGCAACTTAGAGTAAAAAAGATACAACAACATTTTCTTTGGCATCCCAAGCCTGAGAAGTATGACATATTTCATATGATTCTTCACTCAGTTTGGTACAATAGAGTTTTCCAAATGAAATCCAGGTAAGTGAACGTCAGATTGTGTACGTTGAATAGATGATTAACTATAATAATTTAAGGACTTATTTTGATTAAAAAATAATTTAGGAACTTAAAGTAAAAAAGAATGCATAGGTTGAGTACCTATTTTTACATGAATAAGCAAAAATATAATTTTATTTTTGAGAATATTTTTTTTAATTAATTCAATTATACACTAATAATATCAATCACATAAAAAATAGGTTAGTCTATGTTTATGTATCATTTAAAAATTAACAAAATATTTATGGGAAAATCAACCGAATAAAACGTTTCACCTAATAGTTAGCGATGGTTAGTACAATCCATGATTAGAAACTTAAACTATATTCTGTTATAAAAAGAAACTTAAACTTTACTTTTATTTTTCGTTCACTTTTGGCTTTATCAGTACCTTACTAACCTTTACTTATCCCATAACCAAAGAATATATACTAAATTCATTATTTTGTTTAAATTACTATATATAATCACTTTAAGCATCTCAATTATTTTTTATCAAAATGAGTACATAAACTATATTATGTTGCTTTTAGTCCCTAAAGTATTTTTTTTAAACATGTATCTAATTTCGTGTGATGTGTTAATATCTTATTGGTAAAAAATTATTAAAACTTAAAGTAATTAATATAATTATTTAAGTACTTAAATTCATAAAAAAAATAATTTAGATATCTAAATTAAAAATTAAAAATAAGTATTTTTTTTACTTTTAAGCAAAAAAAAAATACTACTTAGTTGGTGGAGAGGTAAAGGGCGATTTTCCCAATAAATCGTCATTTTAAATTTTATTTCCCTGTCAGACACTTTTTATTTTTTGATTTAACGCCTTTTGCAGAAAAACATGACCCATGCTTAGCGTCTTATGTCACATGTTGAAAGGCGCGACCCATGCACCGCGTCTTATAACATGTGTAACAATTGGGTTTTCGTTTCGTAAATATTTTTAAAATGGTGTAAGTATGTAATTAATTTCTATTAGGGTGATTTTTTGTGTAAAAAAATCAACTTTTTTTATTTATTTTTTGTGTGTGAAATTTTTTTTCTGCATTAAAATCTTTAAATATTCTTTTACAAATTATTTTATAACTCGATAAATTTTAATTTTTGCATGAAATTACACAATAGGTATAATCTAGTGTAGGAAAACTTTGATTGTAAGTAATTTAAAATATGAATAATTTTATAAAAGTTTTATAACTAAAATTTCTTTTATAAAATGATGATGATAATAAGAAATATTTTATAATTTAAAAAATATATAAATTTCATATATTTTTAAAAATTTATTGACTTTTAAAATTAATTATTTAAAAATATAAAAATATTAAAATAAACTTTTAATTAAAATTGAGGGATTAAATGAATTATTATTCATTAATTATTATTTTTTAACAACACTTAATAATGTTTATTCATTTTTAATAAAATTAGAATTTAATATTTATTTAATATTTTTTAAAATTAATATTAAAAAATAATATTTTAAATATATATGTGATATTTTTTAGTTTTACATTTTTTATATTGAATTTTGTTACAAGGTTAGAGAGTAACAAAAAAAAAGGAAAATCTTTAGATTTTCATGTATGTGTTCATACTTTTCTTTTAGAAACATTTTACCATAATTTTCTTAATTAATTTGAATAATAGCATAATAAATGATTAATTTGAATTATAAATCATATATTTAAAAAGCAATAAAAATACAATAAAAAATTAAAAGTGAATAAAATTTAATAAAAAAAGAATTTAAAGCTAAAGAATCAATTATTTTAATATTTTTTTATATTTTTAAACAATTAATTTTAAAAGTTAATAATTTTTTTTAAAATATATTAAATTTATAATTTTTTAAATTATAAAATATTTATTATCATCATCATCATTTTGTAAAAGGAATACTAGTTATAAAACTTTTATAAAATTATTCATGTTTTAAATTACTTACCCTCAAAGATTTTCTATACTAGATTATACGTATTATATAATTTCATGCAAAAATCAAAATTTGTCGATTTATAAAATAATTTGCAAAAGAATATTTAAAAAATTTAATGTAGAAAGTTTTTTTCACACATAAAAAATAAATAAGTAAAGTTGAAGTTTTGACATAAAAATTATTTTAACAGAAATTAATTATATATTATGCACAATTTCAAAAATATTTACAAAATTAGCATTCGCTTTTTACACGTGACGTCACATCAGCGTAAGGTGTGGTGCATGGATCGTGTCTTACCAACGTAATGTCACATCAACGTAAGACACAATGTATAATCTATTCATTTATGGAAGGGATATTAAATCAGAAAATAAAAATGAAAGGGTGTATAACATATAAATAAAGAGATAAAAAAGTGATTTACTGGGAAAATCGCCGAGGTAGAGAGTAAATATGGAAATCTTATGTAATTGGGCTGTCACTATCAATCATAGCAATTATAATTAAATATAATTATATAAGTCGCTCAAAGATTTTCTGGCGCTGTCAAAACAGCTTTGAATTTTATTCGTTAGTTAAAATAAAGGGAAAACTATATTAAATGTCACTCTTGGTTCATTTTTTTGATTGTGGTCATTCAACTTTTAATTGTTACGATTTAGTTACTTATATTAACGATTATTAACAATTTGGTCAATGAGAGGTTAAGTAGTGTTATATTGATAATGTGATAGTTAATAAAAATATTAAATTTTAATTTTAATTTCAATTTTGGTTAAAATATTAATTTAGTTATTTAAAAAAACTCTTTTATTCTTAGCTTTTATTTGAAGTATTTTCATCTTTATAAAAAATATAAAAACTAATTTAATTTCCTTTTTATTCCATATTATCATATCGTTATCGATGTCACTCCAGTCATCTTCTTTCAATTGATAATGTTGTTGAAAAATAAAGATACCTCTTCTTTATTTCCTTCTATTGTTATATTTTTTAAACTCGATTTGAAGATAAAAAAATCTACGTCTTCGTTATAAATTTTCGTACCGTCATCTTTCAACGTCACTTCCAATTAAGAGTAGTGTTGTTTGACTCCTCCTTGGTCCTTTCTTTCTATATCGATATGTCGATTTAGACTAGTAAAAAATATTCGGAAATCCTCAAATCTCAAAACAAATTTAAATTCTAAATTTTTTTGACCTATCGCTTTTAACTGTTGGATTAACTTAAAAACAAACCATATTACTATTTTCAACGTAATTACGTGAGTTACACACTCACAATTGAAATTTACCGATGATTGTTTCGATCATCGGTAATTTGTTGAGGTCAAACTAAAGACATTATCTGTTTAAAGATAATTCTCAACCACTTAATATTGAACGTTCACACTCCTAACATTCCTAATGCTCAATCCGGAACCTCAAGAAATAACAATATTTTTACCACTAAGTTGCTCTTATGGTGCTAGTCGTATGATATCTTTGATCGATAATGTTGGGTTGATTTTGGTGAAAGTTTTTAGTTTGGATTTGTGTCTCGATTGGTGGTAGGAATTAATTAGTTCATAGTGGTGACTATAATTAGTTGGTTCAGTAGTGATAAGTGGTGACAAGGAATGATAGGGAAGTGAAAAATGATTACGGTAGTGTTAGATGCTTAAGGGTTTGATAATATGACAAGGTTATGAGTTCGAATCCTGATGTTTTTGAATGATATTAGGCTAAGAGGGTCTCATCACATTTTCAGTATCCGATCCAGATTGATTGATCAAAAGATCGGATACTGATGGTTATTGTAATTAATTGATAATATGTGACTAAGTAATAACAATTGGAAGTTGAGTTACTAAAATCTGAAGAGAATAAAAAAAAAGTGACATTTACTATAGTTTAACCTAAATAGAATTTTTAAAAAAAAATCTCCGCTGTATAACAGCTGCGCGTGGTCCCTGTCCGTCGCCACCGTGAAAATAAATTACCTTTCTTTTTAATATAACAATTTAATTATAATATAAATTAACCCAGTACAAAAATTGTATGTCAATAGAACAATTATGGATGATTTGAAAATTTTCATTAGTCTCTTAACTAGAACAGTTAATGATGTTAATAATTCAAATTAATTAATAATATTATAAAACTAAGAAGACCAAATTTTATTCAAATTAAAAATATAACTTAAAACTCAAAATTTCGTATAATGGATGGACCAAAACCACAATTTGACTTATTAATTTAGGCCTTTTTTTTTATAAACTTTGAATATAATATGAAAAACCAAAATGCCAAACAGCTCCTATCTTTTTCTCGTTCTCACCAGTTTTTACTCTCTCAGAGAGTCCCATGTTCTAACTCAGTAACTCGTTCGTGTAGGTGTTTCTCTTCTGTCGTTCACAGTGACTTGATTCAATGGCGCATCTCTTCAGGGATCTTTCACTCGGTCACTCAAAGAGAGAGTCGACGCTGACGCCACCGCCACTGCAAACTAAGCCTCAACCAATGCCTAGCAAGCTCACCCCGACAGATCTCCAATCTCCATTCGGTCAACTCGCCTCTCAGCTCACTGATTCCGACCTTAGACTCACTGCTTACGACGTTTTCCTCGCGGTATGCCGTACCTCCTCCTCCAAACCTCTATCCACTTCCGCCTCCTTCAATCCCGATTCACCGAGTCTCAACTCGCCTGGTGAAAACCACAATCACTCGCCTAACACGCCCGCGTTGCAGCGCTCGCTTACGTCAGCGGCTGCTAGTAAGATGAAGAAGGCTTTAGGATTGAAGTCGCCGGGCTCTTCATCGGGCTCGAAGAAGAGTCCGGGTTCCGGACCAGGCTCGGGCCAGGGCAAGTCTAAGCGGTCTATGACCGTAGGGGAGCTTATGAGGATTCAAATGCGGGTACCTGAGACCATCGATTCGCGAGTTAGAAGATCGCTTCTGAGAATCGGCGGTGGCCTGGTCAGCTCAATTTAACTTATTATTATTATTTGAAAATTGGAATTTTGGTTGATTCGAATGCTTTTATTTACGATTTACTAGATCTGCATAATACTGCTTGTGAG